AGAGAGAGAGAGAGAGAGAGAGAGAGAGAGAGAGAGAGAGAGAGAGATAGGGAGAGAGATAGAGGGAGATAGGGAGAGTGATAGAGGGAGAGAAAGAGAGAGAGTATAAATAAAATCTACCAAAGGGAACCTCCAGCCACCAACATCTTGCTTTCCGTAAGCGTGAACAACCTGCGAGATTGATGCACAAACTCGCAAATAATACCGGTACAGTATTACTGACAGTGGAACCTCCTCTAACTAACGGACACCTGTATACACGGGACAATCATCCGTACAAACGGTCATTCCCTTTTTCCTTCCTCGCATTTTTCAACATTATAATGACACTGTGTCAGACGTCCACCGGTCACGGACAACGACTTTTCTTCTTCAGAATGGGTGACGGACTTGGCTTAGATAATTTCGTTTGACTGTACGTCATGTAAGACGTCGCAGGCTAATGGTCCACAAAAGCAAAACAGTTTTAGTTTTAGAAAGAGTCTTACGCATTTGCAACACAATAAGGTCATACAAGTGCCGAAGATTAGAGGAGTTACAGGAGAGTAAAAAACGCAAAATAGAAGGAGGGGAGATAAGGATGTTAGATGTTTGATAGGAAAGAAAGAGAAAACCACACCAGAGCACCCGCCAACCACCCACAAAGCAAAACAGATAGACCGAAACAACAGAGGAAAAGAAAAGAAGTATGACCTACCAGTTGCGCCCTTCAACCACTCACATATTTATGATTAACTCCAGTCTCACCCACACTCATGTTACTTATTGCGAACATTTCAGTTTGCTATGACCCTTAACGTGGCAGTTGGAGGCACCAATGGCATCTGGTCTGACACAGCGAACTACCCCACCACCAAACCCTGGAAGAACGACTCTCCTACAGCCATGGAAGACTTCTGGAACGCACGGAGCAAGTGGCACCCTACATGGAGGGGCCGCGAAACGGCGTTCATTGTTGACTACGTGGAATTTAAGAGCTTATAGCAGCAGTGGTTCTTTCAAATTTCTTCACTAAACTTTTGTAAACCGTCGGATGTTTCGGTGAAGAGAAAATCGTGTCCCATGCCAATATAATTTAAGAGTAGAGTCATAATTCATGGAAAATGTATGTTACCTGAAAGAGGTTGTTTTACAAAAATTGTACTTTGAGTTAAGAGTTTATGGCACTTACAACACAATTCTAGAGGCGGGTGTTAAAATAAGGCGGCATAAAAAAGGAGGAGAGAAAAGAACAATAGAAGTTCGATACATGTATTGGAAAGAAAGAGCAAACCACACCAGAGCACCTGCCAATCATTCACTTCGAAAGAAGAAGGGTGTTTTCCCTTTAGTTTTCGTAAGAGTTTTACGGCACTTGCAACACAATAAG